CCGTGCCCCCTGTATCGGCAGGCGGACTCCCAACCACTGCGCCACCAGGGAAGCCCTGTCCAATATTCTTATTCCAACAGCATGAAGCAGAAACCCAGGGACCGTTGGCTCGCTCATGCCAGTGCATTTATCAGCCCTCCACAGCTTATGTCACCGGCTCCCAAGAAGGCTCTGTGTGGTCTGTGCCCCAGACCAGTCCTTTTGCCAGAGCCGCCTGCTGACCTGACCACATCACGGGTATTTGTTTCTTTAAAATCTCTGGCTGGATGGCCTGATGAACGTGTTGTGGATCTCTTATTGACCATTCCAGACTTCCTGTTCCAAATGCACATCGCTAAGGTAATCTTCAAGGAACGCCATCCCTCCTGTTTTGTTGTTGATTTGTCTTAGCCTTACTACCATCGATGGCAGAGTGTGACCCCACAAGGGGCATTTAGGCAAGCCTTTAAGCCAGTTCAGCATATTCAATTCTTAGCTCCTAATCAATTCTTTTCTCTTTTAATTTCGAAGCATTGCTGTGCTTCCTTCTGATTTTCTTTAGCACCCAAAACACCCTCCAATTACATCTCCCTAAATACAGAGGAATAAGGGAAATGTCAGCACTCATATTCCAGATATTTACAACTGTATCTTGGTTTGGCTATTAAATATTGCACGTTAAAATTGACGAAGCAATAAACACACTTCCAGGAGGACAGCCTCCGGTGTAGAAAGCTGACTTGTCAGTGGGTGTGTTCTGCTGGGATTTTACTGATGGGCAGTCAGGATGAATATTCAGTACCCTCTGGATGCTGCCAAATCCGTTCTCTCCAATTTCTTATTGCCGACCTGGCAGATTGGCAGAGCTGAGGGCTTTTTCTTTGACTTCTGGGAGTCCAGGGCTTGTGACAGTGGCTCTCCTTGTCACAGTCCAGTAGGTGACAGGCTGCCCCATCCTTCAGAGTGATTGGCCCCTCCTTTCTTTCAGGAGAACCTGGGGTTCTCCTTCCATCCCGGTTGCATGTGGCTTCAGCCCGCTGGCTGTTCACAGATAGAGTGAGCATGAGAGCAGGAGCCCTAGAGGAGTCCCCACCCCTTCCCCCGCCTCCCCCACCCACCCACCCCGCACCTCAGGCCTCGTTGTCGTGGTAACACCAGATGCACCTATTTGGAGTCAGTGAGCAAGGGTCACTGCTGTGTCTGCAGATGGGTAAGGCAGACAGGGCAGTAACCCTCCTTCTATGAGGACAGGTGGGACATGGACATGCACGCACGCACGCACGCACACACACACACACACACACACACACAGGCAGGCAGTGACCCTCCTTCTATGAGGACAGGTGGGACATGGATATGCACGCACGCGCACACACACACACACACACACACACACAGGCAGGCAGGCAGTAACCCTCCTTCTACGAGGACAGCGCACGCGCGCACACACACACACACACACACACACACACACACACACAGGCAGGCAGTAACCCTCCTTCTACGAGGACAGGTAAGACATGGACATGCACGCACGCACACACACATACACACACGCACGCACGCACACACACTTACCTACAGCTCTTCTTTCATTCTCTCCCAGTCTTTTGGCTGACTTGCATCCCTCAGTTTGAAAAATCTCTGCTGTCCAGCCACTGGCCCCCTCTCCACCTAACGTGACTGATTACTGTCACGGATCTATAATAAAGAGCAGAGTCTTCCTTTTCTCCCTCTGCTCCCTCACTGCCTGTATGCTACCCTCTGGCTGCTGCTTGCACCATTGCACAGAAACTGCTGTCTCTAGAGTTACCTGTGGCCCCCTCACTGCCACACCTGTGGCTTCTCAAACTTAGCGCATCAGAATCACCTGGAGGGCACGTGAGCCCGCAGGTCTCTGGGCCTCACCTGTGGCGTTTGTGAGGCAGCGTCTCCACGCCACGTGGTGCTGATGCTGCCCGGCCACAGGGGATCGGAGGCCTCAGAAGGAAACTCTCCAGATGCAGAAAGAAAGGGCCCTTTCCTCCAGCAGGGTACAGCCCCACTCTGGAAGTCGTGAGGTACCTGAGAAGGCAGCTGCTGGGTGCGCTGGAGTCTGTGCTCGCAGGTGGGGTGCTGAAAGGTGGGGCCTGGCCCGCAGCCTCACGCCCTTCTTCCTGCCTCTTCGTCCTGCTGACTCACTGTTGGGGATCACCCAAGTCCTCAGTGTCTTGTCTCTCACCTTTGTGTTTATTGCCTAAGTCCATTCACTCACACAGCCAAGTCCAAGGTTTCTCGGGCTTTCAGGTGCATTTGAGTCACCTGGGGGTCTTATTAAAAGGCAGAGTCTGATTCAGGAGGTCTGGGGTGGGGCCCAAGAGTCTGCATTTCTAACAAGCTTCCAGGCGACACGGATGCTGCCAGTCCGTGGACAGTACTTTCAGTAGCAAGTTTGCCACTTAGGTTTGGCAGTTCTCCATCTAATATGGAGCTTTGAACGTGGGACTGAGCCTGGGAACTGAAAAGAAAGGGGAATAGTGAAAATGTACTGTGTGTTTATTATAGACCAGGTTCTGTGCTAAACTCTTACTGTAGAGTATTGCTTTTAATCTGCATAGCACTCCTCTCAGGTAAATGCTGGGATTGTTCTCATCTTGCAGATGAGAATACCTACGGTTCTTAAGGGGGCTGGGCTCTCCTAACCCCACGGAGGAAGGTGGTGCCAGCAGGCTGCGCACCGCCCAGGGCAGTGCTGGGCAGGATGTGTGAGTGCCTCCTAATTAGTTGTGCAGGCTGCTGTCTCCCCTGGGCTTCAGGAAAGGTCCTCCCTGTCCTTGAGAAGTGGGAGGAAATTCAGAGCATAGAAGAGGAGCTGACCCCTTGCCTACCTGTCAGACATGCACCAAATTTCAAAAATGCCTCTCTTTCAGGCTTTTCAACACTTCACAATATTTTGACGTGGGAAGGAGGGGAAAAAATGGAAATGCTTTGAAACAATTCTCTTCCTTGGATTCTCGTTCTCAGACCTTGTGACTGAGCTGAAGTTTAGTCATAGGCATCCAGTTTAATATATGCGGTTACTATAGCAATGGAGGTTTCCTTAGTAACAGTTGCAAAAATAATCTGGCCCCAATTAATAATGCATTTTAAAGCTCTTTCTACTCTACACTGAACAACCCAGTTTTTTGGGCCCAGAACCAGATAATTCAGGTGGTGTCATTTGCTCTGATAGAGATATCATTTGCATGCGGTGAATCGGGTTGGAAGGGAATGAAAAGGGAGCTGGTTGTTTCAAATATTAGAGGCAGCGGATAGGAAAAGTCGACTGGCAAGCTAAGGTGAATCTAGTTTCCAGAGCTTGGGTGCTTGCTGGTAAAGCCTGCCCTGGATTCCAGTGCCCTGGAGGATTTCGTGCGTTTGAAGAAGGGAGAAGGCAGGAGACTGGGCTTGTTCCCAAAAAAAGATGAAACCAGAAGGGTAGGGTCATGGGCCGGGGGATTTCTCTCAGACGGGTGCCGGATGCATTCTTGATGGCTTGAGAAGGTCTGTAGGTACGTGAATCCAGCTTCCTTTGTGAAGAGAGTCCCCTGATTTAGCACCGGGAAACAGCCTCAGAGTTGCTTTTGTAGTCATGGTGTTGGGTGTCCGATTCTGCCGTACTTAGCTCGCTGAATCCTCTCAGCCACGCAGAACCTTTGTCTGTGGGTTACCCCAGTGCCCAGGTGACAGTCTGGGGCTTTCAGAAGTTTCAGTTGCCTTGGTGCATGGAACTCAGACCTTGATCCTGTCTTTCCACACTAAGCTCTAAGCGAGCCAGCTAGCCAGCACTGGCAGAGGAGGCCCAGGCACGACCAGTGGGCTCAGTCCTGTGTCTAGATCAAGAGAGATGACCAGCAGAGGTGCTGGAGAAAGGCCCAGGCCAACCTGTTCTGGCCTCCCCTCTGGGCAGGGTCACTGGAGGAAGCCCAGCTTGCTCTCCCTGTCAGGGTCTGTGCCTTGTCCTGGGTTCCTTTCTCAGCTGACGAGTGATTTAGTCCTCGACAAGTGAAGTGTAAAGAGAAAGGTGAGGGTGGGATGATGCTTTTACTATTAGCTCTGTAAGAGGAACTTGGAATTGTGACTTTTTCCTTTTCTCTCTTTTTCAGTAGGGGGAGGGTGGTGGGTAGGGGGGGCAGAGCCAAGTATAATAATGACGGAGTGGGTGAGATCTCAGATTACCTTCATAAGATATATTTCATTCGACCGTGTCTTCTTGCCACCTTAAAGGAGAGCACGGTCATTAATTAGCAGGTAGGGTGGCCCTCTGGAGTCTGCCCTCCCTTCTGGTTTTGGAGCAGGACCGTGAGGGGAAGGGGAGGCCGGAGTTGGCTCTGTTCTGTCCCATTGTTTATCATTTTCTTCTCTGCCTTCTCTCTTCCCATCCTCCAGGAAGAGCACCCCAGCATCCTCCAGCCACCTGCTACCGTATTTCTCCAGCTCCCTCTCGTTCGCTCACCCACTCCCTCACTCACTAACTCACACATCCCAGCAAACGTTGATTGAGTGGGTGCTCTCCAAAGCCTGAATCCGGGGGTGCGGTGATGAGAACATCTCCAGGCAGGACCGTCTTATTCTTCAGAGCACCCCCAGCACTTAGCCTCATGAGGGGCACGGAGTGGGCACACTCTAAATATTTGCAGATCAGATGGACAAAGCTTGATCTCTGCTCTTGGGGAGCTCACGGATAGCATGGGAGGGCCGTAAGGAGAAACTAGCCGAAGATGCGTAAGGGTGCTGATGGGAGCGCAGAAGAGGGGCATCTGGCCCAGTGGGATGGGAGTGAGGGAGAAGAGGACTAGAGGGTGAGTAGGGAGAAGGGTCGGAGGGGAGATGGTAGGAGATGGGCAGGGAGGACGGCTGAGCGGAGACCGAGCTCAGGGAGAAGCGGCATGGGGAGGTGTGGTGTGGTGTGGGTGTGACGGGGGAGGCTTGGAGGTGAGTGAGGACAGCGGGGTGAGGGCCAGATCCTGGAGGGACTTTGTACTGTGAAAGGAAATTTTTTTCTTGTCTGTAAGCAGTTGGGAGCCATTAAACTTCTTAAGCAGGGAATTGATGCGGGCTGGGTGTGTTTTTGCCGGATCCCCCTGGCGGCCATATGATGGCAGGGAGAGCTGGCAGGAGAGACGGCGAGGACCTGAGCCAGGGAGGGGCAAGGAGGAGGCCAGCGGAGGGTTGTTTGGGGTGCGATTGGCTCTGTTCAGCTGTCCTCACGCCGAGCCATTCTTTTGGGGGAAGCCCATCAGTGTTTGGTTCTCTAGGAGCCGTGCTGGACAAAACCAGGCGGGGAGCCTGGACGCGGGACTTGGGCCACATTTCCAGGGGTGTGTGGTCATTCTGCTGAGGCACCCCCTTTTCCTTTGCAGTGACAAAGTTGCAGGTGAGCAAATCAAAGAGGACCCTCACCCTGGTGGAAAACAGGCCCATCCAGCTGAACTGTTCAGTCAAGTCCCAGACCAGCCAGAACTCCCACTTCGCCGTGCTCTGGTACGTCCACAAGCCCTCGGACGCCGACGGCAAGCTCATCCTCAAAACCACCCACAACTCCGCCTTTGAGTATGGCACCTACGCCGAGGAGGAGGGCCTGAGAGCCAGGCTGCAGTTTGAGAGGCACGTGTCTGGGGGTCTGTTCAGCCTCACTGTCCAGAGAGCCGAGGTCAGCGACAGCGGCAGCTATTACTGCCATGTGGAAGAGTGGCTGCTGAGCCCCAACTACGCCTGGTACAAGCTGGCAGAGGAGGTTTCGGGGCGCACGGAAGTCACTGTGAGGCAGCCAGGTAAGGACAGACGGTGCAGCCAGCCTGGGCCAGTAGGCTGAGGGCAGAGACTGCCTGGGGGTGCGGCAGGGCTCTGCGGGGTCCATGATGGATGTGCACGCGGTACAGAGCATCATCCTCGTTCACTGCAGGCCCACCCACTTTAACCTAGTGGGTCCTGCCTGGTGCTGATGGCGAACTCAGAGAAGCATCCTCTGTCAGCATCTGCTGTTGTATGCAGCATCTTCACCCGGGAGAGGCCCGAGGGGCAGCTGGGGGTTGCAAGGTGCGGCAAGGCAGGATCCCTGGCAGCGCCTGGATCTCATTCTGGGTTTGCAGTTTGCACCTTGGATCTCGGGCTGGTGCCGGCTCCATACCCAGGATTCCTGCCTGGAGGGCGTTTTCTGGTTTCCCCTTCTTCCTTACCACGCACAGCCCACGGATGAGCCCTTCCTGTCTCTGAACAGAACCACCCTTTGGCCCCCTCTCAGACCCTGTGGGTGCAGCCTTTATTCCGTTTATATCCGGCTCCCTGACAGATGGCGTCTGACTTCTGCCGGAGCACTTCCCAGGCGGGAGAGCTGACTGCCTCCACAGCCCTCAGTTCCACTTTTGGGCAGCCCTGGTTGTTGAAAAGTTCCTCCTCCCTGTAATTTCCCTCTCAGGTTTTAGGTCTGCCTGAGAACAACCCAAGATTAGTCTGAGTCATATCCTTTCAAACATGCGAAGGGAGCCCTTTCTCCTTGTTGAAAAGCTCTAGTTCTTTGAACTTCTCACATAGGGTGGCCCTAAACTCCCTCTCCATCCCTCATTCCTGCGTGCCCTATAGTTAGTTGTTATCCCTACCTCTGGTGCCCGATGAGCTGTGGGGTGCTGTGTTGCCACCCTGAGTCCGAGCTCCATGCCTTTGCTTATGCTACCCTCTCCTCCAGGAATGCACCCCTCCTGCGGCTTCTCCCCTATCTTCACCCCATTCCTAAGACTTTACTCAGCACCACCTCCAGGAAGCCTTGCCTGATTTCTCCTATATCACCAGGGGTTCCGTATAAAACACACAATGTAATAATTATTTTCATTTCTTCTCCACTATACCGTAAGCATTTTGAGGACAGGTGCTGTGTCTTTGTATCTCCAGCCACTGACATGACACCCTTAATAAATACTGGTTGAATACGGAATGAATGGTTGCTTTCCTTGACACCCCAGGGCCTTTGTACTTGCTGTTCTCATAACCTGGAATGTGTTGACCATAGATGTCCATCTATCTCGTTCTTCCTCAGGGAGGCATTCCTAGCTCATTTTAACTAAAGTGGCACCCTAGTCACTCTGTATCCCCTTTCCCCAGCCCCTTCATAGCACATGTCACCACCTGGCATACCTATTCATATATGAGTAATTATGAACTACCTGTTCAGATTTTCTACTCATGGAAATTCATTTATCATTGGTTAGTATGTTCACTGTAGTGAACACTATCACTTGTTCACTCTTAATATATTCAAATTCACTAGACGGGTAGCCCCATGAGTGAGCACAGGTCCTGTTCTCTTTACCATGCTATCCTCACGGCTTGTCTCCCAGGAGGCCTCAGTAAAAGTTTATTCTGGGTCTTCCTTGGTGGTCTAGTGATTAAGACTCCGTGCTTCCACTGTAGGGGGTGCGGGTTCGATCCCTAGTCGGGGAACTAAGATCCCGCATGGCGCGGCATGGCCAAAAAAAAAAGTTCTGTGATCAAGTGGAACCAGATGCAGAAGTCCAGATGTGGCCTGGCCCTTGCTGAACGCCATGGGGCTTGTCCCCTCCTTTCCTCAGGATATTGTATTTCTCACGCTGCCCCAATCCGGGGATTCTCAATCCAGGGATTCAGGTCTGCCCACGGTGACATTTCATGCCGACCCTTCTGGTGCATAAAATAGGAAGCTCTGGTCTAAGTGATTCCTGTTGGTATTTCCAGTGACCTACCTCCTGCCTTCAGGCCAGTCCCTGGGGCTTTTGAGAACTGAAGGTTGCCATTAGGCCCACAGATGTTCTTTCAGGTTTCTGTTCTTCCTGTCTTTTCTCAGTTCTGACCGTTTTCCCCATTGGGAGGTCATGGTCACCCTCCCCCACCGTGTTTCCTCTTAGTCATCATTCTGCCTTTCCCTTTTCTTATTTGTGCTGAAACTAAGAGGTTCTTGGTAGGTCCTAAATTTATCAAGGGAATTTCCCCATTGGAGGTTACAGACTCACAGCAAGCTAACTGGGGCAGTGCACTAGGGCTGTAAGGATTCTTGTCAAAACAGTGAAATCTCTGCTTATGGGGAATATTAACACTATAAACAGAAAACTCACAGGACACATTAAAACAACACACTCCCCCTTTTCTGTTGAGATTTTTAATTTGTGTGTTTTTCTCCCCCCACCCGCCCCACTTCATCTAGTCTCCACCCCCTGCCCCCCTTTTTTTAATAAGAAAGCATACATTTATAGAGCTTTTGGAAAATACTAAAAAAGCACAAAGGAGAAAATAATCTTTCAACCCAGAGACAAGCAGAGTTAATATCTTCCCAAGTATATATTTTCAGAGACTGGTTATTTGAAATATATTCTCTGTTGTTTTTTTTTAATTTTTTGACCTTTTATTACAAAGGTGAAATAAATGTGCATTAGAAAACTTCTGACAGTATTAAACTGGAAAAGTGAAAGAACCTCCCTCCTCAGATATCACTCAGGAGGTGTCCTTCTCAGGGGCTTCTGTGCATTTACAGTTTCATAGCTTTTTAACCCCTCTGGTCCAAAGAGGCTTTTGGGCCCTTTATGAAATTGTATGTGATCAGAGTGTACCGCGTTTAATGACACTTTTTCTCTGAAGGAGAATCTGATTGGTTGAGGTTTCAAACAACCATCAGTATTAGTCTTTTCTTTACTGATGTCAGATCAGTTCTCTTTCCACCTTGAGAGGGAACCCTAGTGGGGTTTTTTGGTAAAGAAAGTAAGAACCGCAATTCTTAGGGCCAGCTGGTGAACGTATTAACATGGCTTTCCCCTGCAGTTCTTTTGAGGCTGACAGCCCAGCACATTCTAGCCATCATGTGGTCAGTATTAAAAATGTGCTCTCCCAGCAGGGTTCTCACCATGCCCTTTGCTGTCCCTTCCCAGCCACCCCTTCCCCTTGGCCGTACTCTTTGTGGTCTGCTGTCCCTTGGATGTGGAGTCATCTACCACGCACGCTTGTCCTCTCCTAAGCATCTGAACCGATGAGAGTTATAAATTAGGGGGCAGCTGTTACCGTAACATTGAACTCCATGAAACTCAGGCACTCAGACCCGTGATCAAGAACTCAGAACGTTCAGGGTGTGCGCTTGAGCAGTGCTTCTGCTGATTGAGCGTGCTGCTGTCCTCCTGCATTTGGAAGGCACCTGCTCACGTCCGCTGGGAAGGGGTGCATGTATGTGGCTCGTTGCTTTCTTGTTGGCAACATCTCTTTCCTCACCTTTGCAGACAGCCGCCTGAAGCTCAGCCAGGCGCAGGGCAACCTGTCGGTTCTGGAGACGCGGCAGGTGCAGCTGGAGTGTGTGGTCCTGAACCGCACGAGCGCGGCCTCGCAGCTGCTGGTGGAGTGGTTCGTGTGGAAGCCCAACCACCCAGAGCGGGAGACCTTGGCCCGCCTGAGTCGCGACGCCACCTTCCACTACGGAGAGCAGGCGGCCAAGAACAACCTGCAGGGCCGGCTGCACTTGGAGAGCCCTTCCCCGGGTGTGTACCGGCTCTTCATCCAGAACGTGGCGGTGCAGGACAGCGGAACCTACAGCTGCCGCGTCGAGGAGTGGCTGCCCAGCCCTGGCGGCACGTGGTACAGACGGGCAGAGGACACCGCTGGCCAGACGGCTGTTCGAGTCATGCGACCAGGTGAGGGTTAATGTCCCCAGGCCTCCGCTCTCTTTGGTGGTTCCCCTCTAAGTGTGATATTTTATGCACTGCATAAAATTAGTTAATTTTAAAGTGAACTAATTGTCAATTAAATTAGCCCAATTAATTAGTTACTTGCAGTTAAATATATGAGCATTTACGTTGTACATTTGCATTCACAGTTGTCTGAGATTTTTTTCCCCCTAGTGAATGGAAAATTGCACATCTGGCTTTGGCCTAAGGTGATTCTATTTCTTAACTAGAGTAGCATTTGTCAATTATTTATTGCAGAGCCTAGAATATTTTCTTTTTAAAGAATACATTCAGATTCAGACAAGTGGCAAAAATCTTGAAACAGTAGCCATGTGGTTCAGAAAATTCAGCTTGTGGATTTTCAATGGAAAAGAATTGATTCATATGATTTAAATGGAAAATGAAGTAACTGGAGCCTTTATACTCTCACTTCCTAATAATTTTATTGGTACTAATGACTGTTCTGTGTGGCCTTGTGCTTTTCTTTATTGTTGCTTCTAAAGTACCCAAATGCATATAATTACTGGGTAGAATTATTGTTCCACATTCACACACATAATTAAAGCAAAGATGTGCAGGGTTCCTGTGTCCTGCGAAACATCACATCATCATTCACTCATGTCAGAGCAAAAAGTCAGTGATCCCCTGAAGGACATGGAGCGGAAATGCACTGTGACCTCCATCCAGGGGAATGCTTTGTCTTGTGTTCCGAGCATCCGGGGTGCTGTTTGTGGTCGTGGGCACTGTTGGAAGCTTTCATAATGTTTTCACATCTAAGTAGAGCAGCTCTTCTTGTTGGTGGAATCCTGGAGCTTCACGGTTGTGCCTGCCCCACACATCAGTGAACACACTTCGGGGAGTGCATACAGCCTTTGTTACAGGAGAGGGACATGATCTCTCTCCTCCGTGTCTTGCCTAAGCTGGAGGGGAAGTTGCCTCTACTTTGAGTCACTCATATTTCCCATGAGCTTTCTTTGCCCCATCCCCCTTGCTTAGAAGCTGCTGCGTGTCTTTTCCCAAAGGTAACTGGTAAACACGGCAGCTGAGCACTCGCCTCCTCCACCTCCCACCCATTACCGAGATCTGCACACTGAGGCCCCAGCAGCGTGGGAGGAGGCAGCCAGCTGCGTCCCAGCCACAGTGAAGCTGTTTATGTTCAGTCTTCACCACAGCCCCAAGTGGTAGGTTTTACTGTCGAGGGAACTGAAGCCCGAAGAGAAATGTCGCACAGCCAGTACTTTGAGCAGACTGGGTGGTCGCCCAAGTTACCCTCCTGCCACACTGTGTGCTCACAATGTGACCCCTAAGTCTGCAGCCCTGAGGCTGCCTTGTGTTCAGTCAGTTGAGTAGCCTTCCTCCCTCCCTCCCTCCTTCCCTCCCTTCCTTCCTTCCTTCCATTCTTCCCTGATTATATAAGGTGATCATGCTAATAACAAAGCATTTGGAAAACAGAAAAAATATAGTTTTGAAAAGAAAATTTATCTGTGGGGACTTCCCTGGTGGTCCAGTGGTTAAGACTCCGTGCTTCCAGTGCAGGGGGCACAGGTTCAGTCCCTGGTCAAGGAACTGAGACCCCGCACGCCCTACAGCCAAAAAAACAAAAAGTTATGTGTAGTCTCACTACCTACATATCTTCATATTCCCTCTGTCTCTCTCCCTCTCTCTTTCTAAAAGAAGTCAGGATCTTATTGTTTTATGTGATTTTTTTTTTTTTTCCCCCCACTCAGCATTCCTTTGTGAGCCTTTCCCCATGTCATTGAAAGCATTTCATTACCACCATTTTTACTGGTTGCATAACATTCATTATGTAGATGTACCTCAAAGCTTTTTTTCTGAGATACATGTTGAACATATAGAAGACTTGAAATAAAAGAGCTCTAAAAGTTGGGTTAAGAATCGCCTTGCATTGCTTAGGGGCGACCGTAGTATGAAATATACAAACTGAAGGACTACCCTGGGTGAGATTGTAGCTGAGTAGATTAGTAGTTGTGTTTGGCTCACTGGGGAGGAGAGAGAACCACATTCCTCTCCCACAGCCCAGAGTCACTGGTCAAGGTCACAGCATGGGGGCATCAGCTCGGCCTCGGCCTCGGGGAGGGGCAGGGACGAACTTTTTTCTTGTAGCTTACACATGGAAAAGGAAGGAAAGA